TATAATTGTAAATGTATACAATACTGTACAGTTTTTTTTTTAATTTTGCTATATTTTCATGCATTTCTGTTGTAATTTTATTTTAATTTAAACTGTTTGTTAATTCATTTCGGCAGCAAGGGTCAAAAAAGAAAAACAAAAATTACAACCTTGACTGTACAAAATGTTTTGTTAAAGCTTGGGAAAACAACCACAAATAAAAAAAGTGTATAAAAAAGTAAAATTACTAAGTAAATTATTTTTTATAAATTAAGAATTAATATTATAAATAGTTAGGCATTGACATTGCTATTACTAATATATATATATATATATATTTATATATATACTGTATATATGAACAATGTCACATGAGTAGCAGTTTGATATGGCTGTATATCGGCACTGATGGGAGGGGTGTGTATACAGACATATCGCACCGCTACGAGTGTGATGTTGCGTTTATACAACAGTTTGACGGCATAATTGTGTATATAAAAACAAAATAAAACACGAAAAAGTCTCAAAAACCCTTTTGTATAAGGAACTACTTTCTTCCGCGATGGATTCAAATCATAAGCTGACAGTTAAACAGCTGTTAAAACAGTTAAAAGTATCTTTTAAACTTTAGATCTGTAGTGTCTGCTTTTTGCTGGCTGTACTGTGTGTGGCCGGAGTAATACACATAGGGTAAAGAGGCTGTACGGGTGCAGATATTACTTAAATATATCACAGCTATCAGTCAATCAGATTCGAGAACCAAACAGAACTGTTGTATACAATTTTTTAGGCCTTGAAATGAATAGTTCAACCAAAATAATAATTCTGTCCTCATTTCCTCAGCCTGTTATAAACCAGTTTGACTCCCTTTCTTAGGGTGGACAGAAATGAAGATATTTGTAAGAATGTTCAAAACCTGTAAGAACACATTCAACACTTTTGAAGCAGAATTTAAGCAGATAAACACAACACACTCTCTTCTTTTTTGTTCAACACAACTTTATTGAGTTTCACACTTTTCTCTGTCCCCATAACAGAATATGGTGGTTTTTCCCCCGCCGTGCAGCCTGGGCCTTGGAGGCAGGTCTGTTGTTGGGCCACATATGCTGCTTCTGTATTGGGAACTTTCTGTTCAACTCCTCTTTCAAACTGTAAATTGTCCTTGTCGTCATCCTCCTCCTGTTCACCACCCTCTCTTCCACCTCCTCCTTCCTTACAATGTCAGTTAATGTCTCTTTCTCCTTCATGTTCTTTTCCACCTCCTCACTTTCCTGTCCTTTCACCTCCTCCTCCTTTTCCACCACCTCCTCGTCCATCATCACCAGCTCCTTCTCCACCACCTCCTCCTCCTGCATCATCTCTTTCACTTTCTCCTTCTCCACCACCTCCTCCTCCGTCATCACCAGCTCCTTCTCCACCAACTCCTCCTCCTGCATCATCTCCTTCACTTTCTCCTTCTCCACCACCTCCTCTTCCTTTTCCACCACCTCCTCCTCCGTCATCACCCCCTCCTCCCCAGTCTTCACCACCTCCTCCTTCTGCATAATCTCCTTCACTTCCTCCTTTTTGACCACCGTCTTCTCATAGACCTCATAATCTGTTAAAAGACAAATGATTGCAGTTTGCACATACACACAGTCAGTTTCATGTTAAACTCCAGGTGAGGGCAGTAAAATACGGTTTATTCACATTATAGTCTAAAACATATCTAGATGCCAAAAGCATCATTTACCATCAGAGGATGGAAAGCTGAAAGGCTCATAGCTGGGAGAGAAGCAGAACCATCTCAAGGCCGCTCTGATGAACAAAGCAACTTTGCTCTTCTTTTTCTTCTTCTTCGTCTCCTTCACTTTCTCCTTCTTGTCGTCTGTTAAAGGAAAACAATTACACATCTTGACACACTTCTCCACAGTAATTTAAGAGAAAATTAAATTAAATTTACCAAAAACAAAACTAACCACACATTTACCATGATTTAAACATACAATAACCATGAAATTTTCACTTTTAATTTGTATTTTATTATTATTTATTGTAATCAACTATAATAATATGTGATTATTCTCTTGTTTTATAAAACTGGCGACACAAATAAATGGTCAATACACCAAACAATATAAAAATACACGTTCAGTGCACTTTATTTTAAAACAGAAAAGCGAATACTTTATTTTACTGTGGGATTGTAGACTAAAGTTGTGTCAGAAAAGCTGAAAATGAGATTCAATATCAAACCGTTTCATTAAGATGCACTTGAATGGCCTAATAATAGGCTATAATTCTGTTTCTGCTATTCATTAACTGCAGCACTGTGATTAGCCAACCGATGAGATAATATCATCAATATGAACTAATAATGCCAAAAGTTATTATAATGACATACATCTTGCTATAGCCTCACTGTTTTTGTAAATGGCACACTATTGAAATGTATTTTACTGTATTTATGTGGTGTTTCTGTATTTTAAAGTTGCTTTGTGAAAATGACAGTGAAAATATACAAATAATTCTGTAAACACCACAAGATAAATAGAGTAAATACAGGACTTTTGTTCTGTGGCGAACTGCTGCTAGTTACTGTGGATTTTACAGGAATGTGTAAACAGAACTCTTTAAGAAAACAGCTGTCTATCAAACATTAGGTTTTAATAGTAAGTACTGTATATTATTATGTCAGGAAAACACTGGATTAATATCAGAATGTAAATATGACTCACTATTAGTGCCGTTTATAGGCAGTTCTTTGAGCTGCTGCATTTCTGTCTGGCTCTTGGAGATCTTGCTGGCTTTTGGGAAAGATCTCTCCATTTCTGCAGCTGATGTCACCGGTGGAAGATGCTCAACCATGATGGAAATTTGGTTTTCAGGCTTTCTGTCAAAAACTCGGGGTTTAGTAGCTGAAATAGGATGAGGATTTCGGTCTTGCACCGTGAATCACTCAAACTGGCAGATGTTCGATCGCTGAGAAACACTATAGAGGAGTTAGATATTCAGCCGCAAAAAAGACGCACCCGCTCAACGCCACTACAACAAACCAACAAGAGTTTCTCCTGTGCTACAAGGCTTAGAGTACATTTTTGGAATGCGTTCTATTCTCAGAACACGCTTCTCTATGGTAACCAGACCCTACACTAACCAATGTTTTCTTTTAAAAACAAATGACTGAGGACATGTGCAAATCACATATAAGAAAAACTCTGCTAAATAAATTGATCAAAAGCCGTCTTAAATACATAATCAGTTAGAAATTGATGTAACTGTAGACAAAGAAGAACAACAAATAAAGCGCGAGAGGGGTCTGTGAAACTCAAACCACAAAACTGACATAGCCTATATTGACTGAAATAATAAAAAATAATTTGAAGTATTCGGCTTCAATGTGATCCATCCAGCAAGACATAGTGAAGAGCGGGGCACAAATTAACACTTTTGGTTTTGGCCAAATAATGAACGAATAGAATATATTTATTCATTTTCTTGACTTTGTCCCTTTATTAATCCAGGGTCGCCACAGCGGAACATACCGCCATCTTATCCAGCACGTTATAACGCAGCAGCCCTTCCAGTCGCAACCCATCTCTGGGAAACATCCACACATCCACACACACACATACACTACGGACAATTTAGCTTACCCAATTCACCTGCCACATGTATTTGGACTATGGGGGAAACCGGAGTATGGAGGAAACCCACACGACCGCAGGGAAAACATGCAAACTCCACACAGAAACACCAACTGAGCCGAGGTTCGACCCAGCGACCTTCTTGCTGTGAGATACATAATTATCAATAATACTAATAATTCTATCTTTAAAAACAAATGACTGAGGACATGTGCAAAAAATGTTTTAGTGTTAACCGTTATTCAAAACAGATATTAAACAAGCTTGTTTTATGTTGTAGAATATTTGATGCTGTTGGAGTAAATTTTTTTCATATCCTCATCTTTTTTTTTTTATTGACTTCAATAACAAACATACAAAATTCAATTTACACAGAAAAACACAATGACAATAACAGATCAGGATAAATAATATAAACTTTAAAAATTAAATAAAAAGATTTCATATCCTCATCTTTTTTTTTATTGAATACAAGAATAATAACATCACTGCATTGAAGAAAAAATACAATAACAAAAATAAGAAAGAAGACAGAGAGAAAAATTAAAAATACACAGCCTCAAACATTAACAAAAAAGATTGTCATAAGCTTTAAGAAACTTATTATTTTTCTTATTATTAATAAGCTTAAGAGATTCAATATTATACGAAATTTCAACAAGGAAAGTATTAAAAACAGGTATTGTTTTTAGAAACTTATTTTTGTGTATAAAAAATTTACAGTGTAACACAAAAAAATTTACAATAAGATCGAGAGCATGACCATCATCCGAGAAATACAGAAATATATCTTTTATAGACAAATTTAAATCATGTTTAAAAATGGATGATAAATAAAAAGTAATGTCATTTTAAAGATGTTTAATGTGAGTGCAACTATAGAATAAGTGAAATAAAGTCTCTTCATGTGTATTGCAGAAAGTACACAAATTAGATATATCAAAATAATTCGCAATTTGGGAATTTGTAGGATAAACATTATGCAAGATCTTAAAATGTATCTCTCTTATTTTGTTGGATATGCTGATTTTTTCAGGTAATAACCATGCTCTCTTCCATTGAATGCAGTCAGAGAAGTTGGTCCAAAAAAAATTACATCTTGGGGTGGTATATACAGAGTAATGTAACAATCGTCTGACATGTCTGTTGTCACATTTTTTATCAAAAAAAGACACTCCATCCAAAAAAGTTTAGGCATAATTGTTTCCCTCTCCTTAAAGTAAAAAAAAAAAAGTTTTAAATAAATGCACATAACTTTGTGACAAACTCATTTCATATCCTCATCTGCCCACACAAGTTCAGTGGCGTTACATCATTACTCCAGCACCCACTGATGAATGGCCAGCGCCGATTACGTCATGACAGGGCGGGGTTGCGCCATTTTGAATGTTAAGAGGAGTGTAGGAGGAGAAAGCTGAGGAGGAAAGACAGAACATTTCAACATTTAATAGCGAACTGAAGGGCTACCGACAAAAAATAGCGTCTTTCCGACATTCCTCTTCATGCAATTGCAGAGGAGCTGCTTGCAATAAAATAAACCCTGCAAAGTTCTCTGGACAGTTCTGATAGCAAAAACTAGCAGCAGCAGTAAGCCAAGGTAAGAGCCGGAAGTGACGCAACAGCGGACCCGAAAGCGTGATTCCCATTCAAAATACAAGTACAAGAAAAGGATTTTAAAGTAAGTTTAATATAAACATTGTATAAAATATATTCATTCATCAGTTTTCATTCAGCTTAGTCTCTTATTTATCAGAGGTTGCCACAGAGAAATGAACCGCCAATTATTCCACCATATGTTTAAGCAATGGATGCTCTACCAGCCACAACCCAGTACTGGGAAAATTGTTTAAAACCTGAAATGATTTTTATTATAGTATTGATTTGAACTATTATATAGTATTTTACAATTTTATTGTAGTAACCGAAAGATTAATGACATATGTTACTTTTTGTTATGTAATAAATGATATATATATATTTTTTACATTGTTTTTTATATGTAATAAAGCATATTACAATTTTTGCATATCATTTAAATATTTTTATATTCACTTCAGTTTAAAGATATCAGTGTAATACATAACTTTGTAAATAGACAATACATTTTAGTTATTTATTATGTTTGATATTTGCATATTTGCATTTCCTCCCAAATCAAAAGGAACATTGAATGTTGGCACGTCATGTATTTTTAGCATCATATTAAATCATATGGGCATGGTTCCAATGTACTCTAGTAAATAAAGCTGCATACCAAAGATGCCTGTCATATGAAGCTCTTGGCATTGTTTACCTTCACTATGAATATTTCAGTGTTATTGACCACTAATAAGTTGGTTTGATAAATTATGCACAAATGGTTAGTATTTTATCAGTCCTGACAAAAGCAGCACCAATGTTAAACAAAGTGTATTAATAGAGATTTTCATAATAACTCATAAAACAGGGAAAACCTTACTGTCAGCTATATATTTTTATTTGGGTTACCTGCATGAATAACTAGAAATATTGTAATATATGCTTTCGCCCAATGCTTGTTCGCCCAAAATTGAGTATTTACTCTCCCTCGTGTTTTTCCAAACCTATTTTAGTTTCTTTCTATTGTTGAACACAAAAGAGAATATTTTGAAGAGAGCTGAAAACCGGTTACCATTGACTTCCATAGTAGTAAATGCAAATACTATGGAGGTCAATGGTTACAGGTTTCCAAAATCATTTGTGCATAGTGCTCAACAGATGATAGAAATGCAAAGGTTTGAAATAAATAAATGGTGAATTAACGATGACAGAATTAGCATTTTTGGGTGAACTATACCTTTAACAAATCTGTTTGCTTTTTATTTCTTGTTTCCCTTTTTATCCAGAAGTATCAGAAGCACTTTTATTTTGAAAAACAGCATTTCCGGCGACTCTCTTGGAAATTTTGCTCTGGTCGCCTTCACACTGCTTATCAAGACTAGGGTCCGACATCGCCACTCTCGCCATGGCAGGTAACTCGACAAGTTTATGAGCTGCTTGAGCAGAGATTGTTCCAATTCACCGTGAACTAGGGAATCGCTTCTGTTTGTTTCAATGAGCGCAGCGGCTGCACTGGAGCCACCATCGCGTTCCTGCTCTACTGACAGTAGCCTAGCCGCCTAGCAGCCTCGTTCCCTCCAGTTAGCCAGTAAATCGACAAAACTGATTTCCATCTTATGTTATTTATAGTGCAAAGATCATTTGAGGATGTTTTAAGCAATACTGTTGTTTTTTTCTGTGATAGAGGTGTGTTTCAGCGATGAGCTTCATTTGAGTGGAAACATGTCTGCTGCTAACCCTTTCATCATTTGTTAGCGGGATGCGCGGTCAGGCTGCGGGATTTTTTATATCTCGGTTGTGTAAATGAGTAGGCACTGAGTAACACGTCCGGTTTCTTTTCTGTTTGTGTGTATTATTTGGTGTGGTGTATAAATATATTGGAAATGCGGGCCTCTTTAAATCTCCTCCATTGAACTGGAGAACTTTAACCGGCATCTGCAGAGTCATGTGCAGTCAAACTGCCGCGCGCTTCGCAGAGAGACTGGAAGCCGCTAAAAGCGGCAGGATCCGCAGGGATGACAAAGACGAATGCCTTTTATTCATTAAACGCTGTTATTCAGACTTACCCGATAAGTAACGTAGAAATCTTACAGGTCAGAGTCGTGACTGTGAGGAGTGGGAGGGTTCAGTTTTATGGCAGTGATGGAATATAGGCGTCCTCCACAAAACATTTTATTACCGCTTATAGCAAGGGTGCCCAAACTTTTTCTCATGAAGGAAAACCAAATTGATTGAGGCTAACTGTTATTGGGCCGAAGGCAAATATAGGTGGGGTAATTTACCATGGGTAATTTTTTTAATTTATTTAATAATGTTTAAAATTTACTAGAAAACATTTATGTTAACTACAGTATTTTGTATATTTTATAATGAACCCATCATAGTAAAAATCGAATTTATAACAAAATTATACTAGTTTTTCCTTGATTTGGTTGCTGATGTCTTCTGCATAGTCTATCCGTCGAGTGACACTACTTGCATTTACAAAAAAAAATTGATGCATTTACAATTAAATAAAACATTTAATTTATGTGAACATTTTTGTAGTTCAGCAATAAAACAAGCAAAGGAGGTTACGTCAAATTAGAAATGACGATCTTTGTATTAAAGGCATTCACCCCAACTCTCCATCAAACTCCCTCTACTCTCAGATGGGATGGTGGGCCAAATCAAAGGATACGAGCCAACTTTGGCCTGTGTGCCTTACTTTGGCCATCTCTGGCTTAAAGCTTTACAGAACAAAGTATTTTACACTGTGCATGTATTTATTTCACAATTTGGCTGGTTTTCATTAACTTTTTTTTGCAAAAAATAATACAGCTTTTTTTTATCATGGTTTACAAAAGACAATAAATGGCAACGTAATAATAACAGTTTTATATACCAAAACAGATTTTCAGGTATTCAGGACAACAATTGTTTATCGAAATCAAAATATTATTTTTAAAGGGACATTTTACCTAAAACTGATTTTTTCTTGCCATTTACTACTTCCACTCACTGGAGATTAACCGGTTTTAAAAAAGCAGAAATTGTCAGCTATACCATACCTACGCTATATTTAAAGTTTTTTGTTTTGTTTTTTGGGACAACACTATCTCCAACAGAAAATATATCCAAATATGTTTTTTTTTTATTGTAAAGAAATCTGTGATTTAATTTGAATTATTTAGCCTGACATGTTCACTGTTCCAATATATTTCAAATGTTTCTCAAAATAAGATGTATTGTGTTAAAGGTAAAAAAGTTTTTGTTTTTTTACCCAAACGTTTAAAAATAATAAATTTTAGAGAAGTAATCACAATGTAGTGAAACCGTGATATTTTATCATGCCGTCAGAATCTTATACCGACCCATTCCTACAGTCAAGTTAGACCTGCACAATTAATCGAAAAAAGATCGCGATCTCGATTCGACCCCCTAGATGATCTCAATCCAGCATTTCACGATCACTCTCTGCCACATACTGAATATTATTAACAACTTTATTACCTGTTACTCACAACATATGCAGGTTCTGTTCACTAAAGTAGACGTGCGCACGTCTATCATTAAGTAGAGCGCATGCCCGACCTCCATGGTAACAGCTCACAGTCAGCAGCTTACGTCACGTGTCATTTCCCGGGTGCGAATACAGCATCAGACAAAAATGACATTTTTAGGTGAATTATACCTTGTAAATACAGTATGTGACTCTTGTAACATCATTTGAAGGTGTCCATGTCACTGAGCAATATATGTTAAAAAATAAAACGACTCATGCACAGCTGCCTTTGCTTCTCTCCTGAACTTTAAAATATGACTGGCAGAATTGTAGAAATGCTGGATTAAGATTGTCCAGGGGGTCGAATCGAAATCGCAATCTTTTTGTGATTAATTGTGCAGCTCTATCTCAAACATAATTCGACATCAGAATTATTATAAGTCAGGGCTCAACAATAAGGATGGCCCGGGGCCAGCATGAGAGATGTTCGGGACAGTAGAGAGAATCGTTACTGGCCCGATCAGGCCAGTGCCGCCTTGTCATCAAATTTTAATGTGCCTGCTACTATTTGTCAATTGTGTGCAATTACAGTCTTAGAATCGAGAAACAATTTGTGCTTTTAAGTCTTTGAATGCTACCTTTTCTGTGAAGTCGTAAACACCATATTGCTTTTTGGTTCCTTTTATCTGATTGGTTGTTGTGAGCACGTTATTTTTTTCCACAACCTGGTAAAAACTAGGACAGTGAAGAGACGGCAACATCAAATTATGAGTCTAAAAGAAAACGTCTGTTTCCAACGTTGTGAAAAAAGATATTTACATGGGTACAACACAACAAAAAAAATGTAGCGATGTTTTGCATATACTATACTGCTGTATTTTACTGCTAAATATTTTACCATTTTAAAAATATTTAAATTCTAGATTCAAAGACATTATTTTTGACACGTTATTTAAAATATGTGGCTAAAAAAAATAGCTATTATTTATTTATTTATTTATTTTGGTGGGGCCAGTGAAAATTTTGGCAGGGCAAGTAAAAATCTGAACTGCTGGTCCAGTCAGGCCAGTAGAAAATGTCCTTAGCGTTGAACCCTGTAAGTAGAATTGAATTATTTATAGAAAGCAATAGACCTACACAAAATCAGTGGCGTAGCGGACGGGTCTGCTGCACATTATATTATTATTGTTGTTTTACCATATGTTTGAGAAAAAAACAATAATAATTGCTGACTCATATTAAGATTTATTTTACATCTACAGAATCGTGATCTTTATTTTAAGCAAAAAAATCATGACTCTCATTTTAGCCAGAATCGTGCAGCTCTAACTCAAGTGGTTCTAAACTTTTGTGAATGCCTTTCTTCTGTTGAACACAAAATATCATATTCTGAATCTGAAGAATGTTGGGTAAAAAGCTGTCATTGGCATCCATAGTAGGAACACAAATTCTATGGAAGTCGGTGGGTTTTTTTTCTCCCAGCATTCTTCAGTGTATTTTTGGATCCAACAGAAGAACTCAGGCTGGTTTGGAACAAGCTGTGGATGAGTAAATAATGACAAAAATGTATTTTTTTTGGAGTGAAATATTCCTTCATTGTGCAGTACCAAAATACTATTTGTCATTTAAAATCATAATTAAAAGCTTACAATATGATACTTTTGTATGATCACTTTTTATGTTTAATAGTTACAAGTATGTGTATGTATAATGTTTTTTTTTTTTTTTTTTTTTTTTTTTTTTTACATTTTTCAAAACTAGTACTTTAGTTGTGAAGTAACTATTGCAATTCACACCGCTGCTAATATTAGCCTTTTAATTCACAATGGAGTGGTGGCTGCTCCTCTCATTCAGTGTCCTGTAGCCACTTGTCTTGTGAACAAAACCAACCCGTTTCATACTGCCTCAAACAGCCACCCGGGGTTTGGCTTAGCCTATTTCTTTACTCTCATTAAAAAATTATGCAAGAGCTGTCATTTAAATTTTCTATGAGTTATTCTGAGTGGAGGCAGAGTGTTAGTATTATTTGTGTGTGCAAAAGATGTGGCAGATTTGTTAAGTCAGGGCATGAGAATGTTGCTTTGTTTCATAACAGATTGCTGACATCTCCAATGTATTTCATGTCGTATTATTGGGGTGTTTTGTAAAATGGAAGAATGCTAGCAATGTATTTAGAGGTTCTTGATATTGCAAAAGGCATCAAAAGAGTCTTCCTTAAACTAGTCTCAAGGTTTGTAATGACATGTAGACCACAACTAATTTTAACCCTTAGCTGTAATGCTTTCAGGAGCCGGAGGCGGGGGAAACGATGTGCAATGGTGCTTTTCACAAGTGAAAGGGGCGATTGATGATGACGTAGCCGAAGGTGAGTACATGTCTCTTTAATATCTAAGTGGATGATACGTGGATCAGATTTTATAAATATAAATTTTATAAATATATTTTATGGCACTAAACAAATTGCTTGCAGAAAGACAAAAATTGTGTCCCAAATAATGCTCTATATGCTATATAGCCTTTTAGAGGTCTGAAAGTCGTCCAGGTGCCCATTCTTCATATGTAGATTTTTCAGTTAGCTGGATTTGATTATAGATAATCGAACACAATCCATAATAGTTTAGTTCTTCAAAACTCATCCAGGAGTTGTTGCCTTAGCAACAGGTATGGGGCTCCAATTTGCTCGGGATCAGCTTATTTACTATAAACTGGATTTGATTGTCATTTCAAGCAAAGGTGATACTGAATGTATGTAGCCTACCAAATGCTGATATTTCTTTTAGAGTACTGCCAGAAATTAGGGGAGATAATATTGTAAAATTATGGAAAAAAACTTTGTGATCTACACAATAACCGGTACAAAAACATAATGGTACTGTTTAAGCGGTGCAAAGAGAACATCTTTGTTCGCTTAAGTCATTAATATTTGCACTGAGGTACTAATTTTTACTTTTAGGATAACAATATGGACCTTTTAGATATAAATGCAAACTTTTATTTGGTACTACCCCGGTTTAGTTAAATTTGTGACAGTGTATGATCAAAGACATGGCCAATAGTTCATTGAGAGATTTATTTCTTGTCTTTTTTCTTTTTTTGTGACAACAATTATTTAATTAATGCACTCAATAGAATCATGCATACACAATGTTAAGAGCTAACATGCATGTGATTGGATGCAGCACAGAAGAAAATATGTGCACTGTGAAAATCAAAAGAAATTTGATGCCAAATTGATTTAAAAACCCAGTTACAGCTGATTTATACTTCTGCATCAAGCACACATGTATGGTCTGGCACAGCCTTTGCGCAGTCGCTGACCCCTCGCCGTGGCCAATGCGGACGCGCACATCTCAAAAAATGTTTGTACACGTCATGAATCAGTTCATGTTATTTATCACTGCTGAATTAATCTGCAATCCTTATCATGAATTTTTTGATTCATTTGTCCTTCGCAACAAACACAAGCACATGCAGAAATTTGAGATTAGTTCACCCAGATATTGTATTGTATACTATTGGGTAAGCTAAATTAGCCATAGGGTATGTGTGTGAATGAGTGTGTTTGTATGTTTTCCAGTGATGGGTTGCAGCTGGAAGGGCATCCGCTGTGTAAAATATATGTTGGATAAGTTGGCGGTTCGTTCAGCTGATTAATAAAGGGACTAAGCCGACAAGAAAATGAATGAACGACTGCAAAATGTAATAGAACAGTGAATAAGACACCAAAGTAGGAAACACCTTTTGTCATGCTTATTAAGAATGCTAGTCAGTGTTGAAGGCAGCAGCTTGACGTATTGAACCAGTTTCCTGTCAGCAGCAGGATGTCAAGTAAAAGACTATGTGTGGTAGATTATTTGACCTTTAATTCATCACACCTCACTCTGCAAGAGACCAAAGCACATCCAATTTAGACTTCAGGCTTATATGCATCTTAAGTTCTTTACTTTACCAAGTATTTTTTTAAGTAAGTTTTTTTAAAGGACACCTATGATGAAATCAGCTCCATAAGCTGATTTGGACAGAACTTTGCGTAGGTATAGTGTGTCCACTGTCATATTAAAGTGATATAAACCCAACATTTATTTTTATTCTTATTTTTTTGTGATGTTAAATGATTTTGCGGCCCACCGCAACGTGACATAGGAGTGCAGTTTTCCCCACCCACTGTATTGATTGACAGGTGGTATGTTTTATAATTACATGTATACAATAACATGTATACATTTTTTTCAAATAAACTGGAATTAAAATATTTGCTACAACTCTGTGATTTTTATAATCACAGACAGTGAAATCACTATGTAATTCTCAACCACTATAAACAACCACCTGGTGTCAGTAAATGCGCAGCAAAACAAAAATGTATGTGTGTGTGTACTGCAAACAGCATTTGTGTGAGACTCATCATGTCAGAAAGGCTTGAATTAAGTGATAAGCTGTATTTCAGCTTTATAAAATCTGTCTCTGTGCTGTTTATCTTACGTAACGCATGATGAAAAGCAGACATGCATGTGGGAGTAGTGGGCGGGGAGAAGCAGCTTAGTTTTATTTAAAGCTACAGAAACAGTTACAGTATCCTCAGATACAAAAATGGGCAGATTCTGAAGGCTACGTTAAATAATCTGATGGGTATTTTGAGCTGAAACTTTAGACACATGCTGGAGACACTAAAGGCTTATCTTACATTTTGTAAAAGGGGTTAAATAGGTGCCCTTTAAAGAAACTTCGCTGTATTTGGTTTTGTTTCGAGGATAGGGCAATTTAATCAAATGTTTGTTTGTTTTAAACATTGATTCTGTTTCAATTCTCAAAAGCAATGAGTCAACTTTCTAAATATTCCAACCCTTCACTTTATGCATTTGAATTAAAGAGGTGAGTTCTGTGTGACTAGCTATGTTTCCATCCAAAAATGCGAATGAACTTTATGAGGAAAACTGGATTATCGCATAAAAGACAGGCGAATAAAGCAGCGATTTTATCTAACGAGTCAAAGTAAACAAAATTGTCACTTCCTGATTAACTGGTGCCAAATATCAACAGTAAACACTGAATTTGCTGCAGTAGAAGAAGCTGTGTCAATCTTTTCTTCATCTAATAAATGACTTGCACCTCAGAAAGCCATCCTGACACGCAGTGGCGTTTGAAGGTGTCAGAAGCGGAGACGCTCTTGATTCTGGAGGTCATTAATAATATAATAACACTAATACTGAAATGGTTCAGGCATTTAGAATGACCAAAACAACATTTCAGATGTTTTACAGTGTGCTCAGCCTGCTGGTTTATCTATTTATGCACCTTTTTGTCATGACATGATTTCTTGTAACAAAATCACATGGCATTTTTTCAATGCGCACACTGAAATTTGTGAGATAATAGTTTCCATCGTAGTTTATGTGCATCTTTTCTTATCGAATAAAATGTTTATTCTACTCAGTTATGCGCATAAAATTTTTATGCGCATTTTCAAAATGTATGCGCATCATGGCGTTTTCTGCTGCATATTTTTTCAGCTTTGCCACAAAAGCAGTATTTAATTAAAAAATAAAGTTTATTCCGTATGAACTATAATTAGCTTAAAATAAGTAGTTATTATAATATTAATAAAATTAACATAATATAATTATCTTATCTAAATCTGCTTTTTTCTAATGGCTACAAAAAAAAAAAACACTGTTGACATTCCTAATAACTGAACTTGCTTAGTTAGCTTAATTAACCTGGTTAGCCTTTTAAATTGCGCTTTTAAGTCGAACAAAACTAGCATCTTGAAAAATAACTGATTATAACTGAAAATAGTGTGTACTGTCATTACAACAAAGACAAATATTAGTTATTAAAATCATTGTGTATATATATATATATATATATACACATACATATATATATATATATATATATATATATATATATATATATATATATATATATATATATATATATATATATATATATATAATAATATATATACATACATACATATATATATATATATATATATATATATATATATATATATATATATATATATATATATATATATAAATTAGAATTTCTCCATTGTACAGCACTTGGGAAATATTTAAAAAGTAATTTAAAATTTCACAGAAGGGCTGATAATTACGCCTTTATGTGTGTTTGTGCATTACAGCCCTTCTGCCTTTTCATAGCTGTAGACTTTCACAATGGCAGGTTTTTGTGAAAACCTTAAATATGGTCTTCAGTAAAGTCTCGTAGTATTATTTTTCAGTCTCTTGTTTTCATATCAAATGGGGTGGTCTCTTATGAGAATCTTTTTGACTTGATTCAGTGATTTGATTTCCCTTTAGCTCACACAAACACATGCTCCAATCCTCCTATTGTCCCCCAGGCAGGGTCAGACTTACACAAAGGGCCCTGACCTTACATTTTTCTCCTGCATTCTTCTGCTCTGCTGGCATACAAAGGGTTAAACTCATCCGAGAGTCAGTCTATGGCTGTCCCAAGAGTGCATATTGTGGCAGGAATCTAGGTTACAGATGTGCGGCGTCTCTTTTTATTTAAAGATTCATGTCATCGAGTCAGTCAGTGTCTCTCTGGCTTTTGATGCTAAATTTGTTGGAAGCAAAACGCACGTTAAGTTGTTACTCCTCAGGGTGTTTTTGGCAGGAGTGTTGTAGCTGTTAGGATGAAGTGAAGGAAATCTGACAAATGTTGTGTGCTCCTCTCGTCATACAGCCGACATCATCTCTACTGTGGAGTTCAACCACTCAGGGGAGCTGCTAGCCACAGGAGATAAAGGCGGACGAGTAGTCATCTTCCAACAAGAGACCGAGGTACAGGATGAACCAGAGCTAAAGATTATTTTGATGATTATTTTTTACATTTTTTTTTTATTAAACTTTTAATGTATTGGGTTGCCACTTTAAATTTAATTCATCTTTATTTCTATAGCGCTTTTACAATGCAAGTTGTGTCAAAGCAGCTTAACATAGAAGTTCTAGTAAATCAAAACTGTGTCAGACCAGCTTACAGAATTGAAGTTTAGTTTAGTTCAGTTCAGTGTGGTTTAAATTTCACTTCTGACAGTCCAAACTCTGAAGAGCAAATTGACACACAATTTGGAAAGCAACTTATGTAATCGCTACATTTTTTTATTATTTCTTTGGTTAATCTGACAGCAGTCTAGCTATTGATTATAAAACTATTTTAAAAAATAATAATATAAATTTAATTAAATTACAAAATGTGAAATTTAAAAGCTATAGACCTTTTCATAACTGTAACAAGAGGCGATTAAATTAGTAAAACAGGAAATAAGTTAGGACCATTGTTTTTGTTTACATCCCTCAAAATGGTTATACAAAAAATATTTGTATTTTTTATTTTTAGGTTAATATGGTGTCATAAATATCCGAGATACAACATTTGCCAATACAGACCTTTTTTGGGATGAGTTGTTAAGTAGTAATAAAATGATAATTTGGGACATTAATGTTTGTACTTGGGTTAAAATCGAAGTACTGTTTAGGACTGCAACTGACTATTATTTTTAATTGGTTCATCTTCCAGCTATTATTTAGCTATTAATAATAAAAAATAAAATCTTAGTGCCTAGAACTACAATTAACAATTATTTTAATAATCAATTTATCTTTCAGGTTGTTTGTTCAGTTAGAGTTAAAAATAGAATTTTTTTTCCACAGTTTTATTGATTAATCCTTTAATTATTGTTCTGATTTAATAAATCTAGTATTTAAACTTATGGCTGCAACTAACTTTTTTTTTTTTTTTTAATGGTTTATACTTTTTTTTTTCTTTTATTAGTCTGGTAAAAATCCAAATATGACTCTTTAAATAATTAATTCATCTTTCAGGTTGTTTACCAGCTAGATGCAAATGTTATGTATTATTTACTTATTAATATTTAGTAAATGTTGTTCAGTTTTAAATTAGTTTACTCTGTATCAAAAAATACAAATCTGTCCCAAGCAATGCCAATGGTACCTTTCCTGCCATTAAAGTCATTATTAACATTGCAATCGCTAACCCAAATGTTCTGACAAAAATGTATTTTTGTATTTCAGAACAAGAGTCAGCCACAGTGCCGTAGTGAATACAATGTTTACAGCACATTTCAGAGCCACGAGCCTGAGTTTGACTACCTGAAGAGCTTGGAAATCGAGGAGAAGATTAACAAGATTCGCTGGCTACCACAGAAGAACGCTGCACAGTTTTTGTTGTCCACTAATGGCAAGTAGAGCACTGGGCATCTGTACAGTCTTTTACACTGACCAGTCCACAGTCTGTTTTACTGAAGGTTACATCTAGTTGAATTATTAGGTAAATAATACACACTTGAGGCGGTAATGCGGCCACAACACATAGCAGATGTTGCTTTGTTCGTTCTCAAACTTATACTATGTTTACCTCAGCTAAATACATTGTTCAGACATTAAAATGTCAAGTTTTTGTAACGGGTCTTTGAAACTACTTCTTGGCACATTCATGACCAAATCATTTTGCTTTAGTTTCGATCTATTGTTGACAATTGTAGGTTGTACAGTAACCGAATGATCCAGTGTAGTGAAATGGAACTTTAATGTGGTCAAGACCTGCCTGGAACTGCTTTCCCTGTGCAGTTCCCTGAAGATAATTGCACACCTTTACTGCCACATTTATGACAAGTCATAGCATTAGTTCATGTACAATTAATATAAAACTGCAGATGCTGTCCTTTCATGTGACAGGAAATAAAACAACGTCCTGAGTCTTAGATGTGTTGTGGACTGATACACACTGCCTACACTCATAGAAAACAATGTGTAGAATTTTAAAGACATGATGTGGGGCTGCAATTCTTGTCCAGTTTGAGACACTTCCCCCCTTTAGAATCTCCATCAGTCAATTAGAATCAAGCATTTGACATCCCTGTACCATAAATATGATTAACACTGAGCTATGGGAAATACTGGTGATTTATTATATATAAAATCAACAAATTACCATTTAAAATACAAAATAACAGTAATTTAAGGTCTTAAATTGACATTTAAAATGCATAAAGTGCAGTTTTTCCTATTTTTAACCCTTTTTAATTTCTAGTTTGTAATCAACGTAACGTTTGTGCAGAATGATATATACATCTATACAATAGTAAATACTAGGGATGTAACGGTATTGTAAATACCGTCATACCACAATATTATTTTTTTTCGATATTACCGAAGTCGCATGACTCGGTAAAACTATAGGTCTTCTGAGAAAATTTGCTCAGGCGAATGAAGCGAACGGGAGGTAGCAAAAACTACAATTGCCATCAGCCCATGCTTGACCATCATCCCTTGCGGTCTGTTGTCGCTACAGATCCAGTAATGCGGAAATGGAGTGTGCTGCTAGAAGCGGGGATGAAAAGAGCTGGAAAACTCTAAAGCAGGTCGCACACCAGAAGCGGCGCTCGGCGGCGCGCCACGCAGCACCATGTATTTTAGAATTCTAAACATAGGTTTCTATCAGGATACACACACCGGCGCCGCAAGTCGGCGGCTGTCGGCGGCGCCCGGCGACGGCTCAGGACGCAGTTCATTTTTCAGCCGCGCCACAGAGCGCCATCTGATTAGTTTCATGTTAAATATCATTCGAATGTGCGCGTCTGGTGTGTGATACTTATAAACTGTCATGTACATCTGAAAACGGAAGCGGGGCTGCAGACATTCGCCTCTCTGATTGGGGCTTTTCCTGAATATTAAGTAGCCTAACACACACAGTTCAGTCCTGCATTCGCTCCTTGTAAGTTCAGACTTCGCAAGTTTGATCAAGGCTGCAGTCTCTTCTTTTCAGTTTGATATGGAAAAGCAGATTATACCGAGGACACGGGTAAATCTTCAAAGGGAACAGTGTACTTTATAACTTCATTCACATCACCCTGGCTTCGTTGTTTCACTTTCTCAACAATAAAATGTAAACATGATTTAAGGAACTGCCTATTTTCATTTTAATATTAGCAACTTAGACAGCAGAAATGCTGAGGCGTTGTGCTGCATAAGATGAGCGTCATCTTCACTCTGTGGATATTTATAACAAAACGGAGCCGATAACAACTGCCTCCTTTCAATTTCAGTGAAAATACAAAACACAGCCTCTCTTTTGCTGAGTATCAGTTTTAAGAATCGATAATGGCCATTTTAAAAGTATAACATACAATAAGTTTATACATTATAGGAAATAAAGGCGATCAGTCAATATACAGAATGGACGTGGTTACATTAATCATTAACTTATCTTTGCGCTCAGCCAAAACACGTTACCTGAGAACAAGTAATAGATTCCAATGCCCAAAGTCAGGGAATATGTCGTTAGATAAACACAACAAGATAAATGAAATATCCCGTTTAATAAATATAGTGAGATTAGATCCAGCGGGAGATGCTTGATGAGAAGTCCGACTAGCAGAGCTCTCATCTGGGTAGATGGGCTGAGTGTGATTAAATGTTGAATGTGATGAGTTTTCAACAATACTAAATTGAAACTTTATTTTTTTACATGGTTTAATAATTTTATGTTATTAAAATTGAAGTTCCTGTTTCAAAGCTTACAGATAGATGGCTAATTTGTATGTCATTGACACTTTTGGCACTTTTTTGGAGTATTTTCATAAGTTTTGTTTTTTCCTGTAAATGATTCAATAAATACCGTACCGTGACATTCATACCGAGGTATTACCGTACCGTGAAATTCTGATACCGTTACATCCCTAGTAAATACAGAATATTTCTTCTTTTTTTCTTTACTGGAGAACCATTTAACAACTACTTAAGTTGCTTTAAGCTCTGCAAATTCTCCAGACTTTTTCCTGACTCACCCATGCATCTCCATTCTGTCTAAAAATACAAACTCTCTGTTGTGTTATGCAACCGGTGTGCATTTAAGGCTGTCTTGAATAGACTGAATGCTGGGTTTTCTGTTCACCCACACACTGGAAGATGGGTAGATATTTGTGGGGCAGAGTTCAAATTAGACATGGGGAAAATGTCCAGATGTTTTCAGAATTTGGGGAACTGTCAACTCCATTCGTTATGCCAGTCATACTTGCTATTATTATACTGTATGTGGAAATAGGCTTTTTTTCATGATTTTTCAGCATGAGTTGTATTGCTGGTCTTGCACTTGGGGAGAAATTTTATAATATTATAATTGCAGATAAAACTATAAAGTTGTGGAAGATCAGCGAGCGGGACAAGAGACCAGAGGGATACAATCTGAAAGAAGAGGATGGACGCTATAGAGATGCTTCTACCATCACAACTCTACGGGTGAGTTACGAGTACAAAATTTTAAATAAAGGTGTAAATCGTGACCGAAATGTAGAGATGGACCGAATGACCAGCTGACAACTGGAATCAGCTGTTATTTTGCATGATCAGCCTGACTGGTGAGCAGACGGTCCATAATGTTAATGGCGGTGCTAGCAATGACATCAGAGACATTCATACTAACATTTTGACCAGTTACCCATTAACTGACAGAATTTGACAGATTAATACTGTCAGCTTTCAAATATTGTCTTTTTTAAAGCATTTGCTGAGTATTTGTAAAGCATTTGCTAAATGAGTAATAAATTCTACTGTTCTACTCATTGCCTTCAGAAGGAGAAAAAAACAATTATGTTTAAGTTTTTAGTAAGTGCTTCATTAGAACAATATTGAAAATATCAGAAAATAAGTATCTATAAAATAGTAGAGCAAAAGAATACATACAAATATTAATCAACATATTACATATGCATATTTAATCTTTGGACTTTTGTTTAATGAAATTTAAAAAAGTTTCGTTTACAAAGAGTGGAAATAAAACTTTTTTTTTTTTGTCAAGCATATTAGAGAAAACTGGCGTATTTGGGTTTTTGATAATGATTTTTTTTTTTTTTTTAGTAATGTGTTAATTTTTATAATGTGTTAATTTTGCAATATTCAATAAAACTATGTTTTTGTTTGTGTATACTGTGAATTATAGTACTTAGAAGAAGAAGAAAAAAACGATGGAATCAGCAAAAATCTGTATTAACAAATTAATTACAAAAGTCACACTGACCAAAAAAATTGTAAAGAAAATTGCGTTTGGTGCATCTCTACTGAAATGATTTGGGCTCATCCACTTGACCAATTACAAAGGTAGTCGAAAAACAAATTTGATTGAATTACTTTCATAGTCTAAACATTTGTTATTGAATGCATTCAGACATCCAGCCAGTGTTGCCAACTATTTCCAATGAAAAGTAGCTAAGTGTTGCCAGATGACATCACACACTAATTTGCATATAAGTGACGTCATCGCATAATATCTGACAAGCGTAAGCCCGTCATGTCTCTACTCTCTGTGGTGCCGTGTATTATACTATATTAAAACATTACATCCAGATGCACAATAAATAGGTTTTTATTAACATATTACTTTGCGTAACTCAAAACTACATCTTCATGTAGTATACAAAATAATTAATGTTTTCTCAAGTTGACTGGCCATCTCAGCAAAAACATTATTCAAAATATTTCCATTTAGATTTGTATGAAAAATAAAGTTAACTATTTGTAAAAGTAATACAAACACTTTTTGATAATAATTGTATATTTTTATCTGTAAAGCTGCTAATAAATAGTTACATTCTTTAAAACAATCACAGCTTGTGTACTAACTAGGGATGTAACGGTATTGTAAATACCGTCATACCGCAATATTAATTTTTTTCGATATTACCGAAGTCGCATGACTCGGTAAAACTATAGGTCTTCTGAGAAAATTTGCTCAGGCGAATGAAGCGAACGGGAGGTAGCAAAAACTACAATTGCCATCAGCCCATGCTTGACCATCATCCCTTGCGGTCTGTTGTTGCTACAGATCCAGTAATGCGGAAATGGAGTGTGCTGCTAGAAGCGGGGATGAAAAGAGCTGAAAAACTCTAAAGCAGGTCGCACACCAGAAGCGCCGCTCGGCGCCGCGACACGAAGCGTACATGACAGATTAAAGTATCGCACACCAGACGCGCACATTCGAATGATATTTAACATGAAACTAATCAGATGGCGCTCTGTGGCGCGGCTGAAAAATGAACTGCGTCCTGAGCCGTCGCCGTGTGTCTCCTGATAGAAACCTATGATTAGAATTCTAAAATACATGGCGCTGCGTGGCGCTGCGCGGCGCGCCGCCGAGCGTCGCTTCTGGTGTGCGACCTGCTTTACACGCACAGTTCAGTCCTGCATTATCTTCGTGTAAGTTCAGACTTCGCAAGTTTGATCAAGGCTGCAGTCTCTTCTTCTCAGTTTGATATGGAAAAGCAGATTATACCGAGGACACGGGTAAATCTTCAAAGGGAACAGTGTACTTTATAACTTCATTCACATCACCCTGGCTTCGTTGTTTCACTTTCTCAACAATAAAATGTAAACATGATTTAAGGAACTGCCTATTTTCATTTTAATATTAGCAACTTAGACAGCAGAAATGCTGAGGCGTTGTGCTGCATAAGATGAGCGTCATCTTCACTCTGTGGATATTTATAACAAAACGGAGCCGATAACAACTGCCTCCTTTCAATTTCAGTGAAAATACAAAACACAGCCTCTCTTTTGCTGAGTATCAGTTTTAAGAATCGATAATGGCCATTTTAAAAGTATAACATACAATAAGTTTATACATTATAGGAAATAAAGGCGATCAGTCAATATACAGAATGGACGTGGTTACATTAATCATTAACTTATCTTTGCGCTCAGCCAAAACACGTTACCTGAGAACAGGTAATAGATTCCAATACCCAAAGTCAGGGAATATGTCGTTAGATAAAGACAACAAGATAAATGAAATATCCCGTTTAATAAATATAGTGAGATTAGATCCAGCGGGAGATGCTTGATGAGAAGTCCGACTAGCAGAGCTCTCATCTGGGTAGATGGGCTGAGTGTGATTAAATGTTGAATGTGATGAGTTTTCAACAATACTAAATTGAAACTTTATTTTTTTACATGGTTTAATAATTTTTTGTTATTAAAATTGAAGTTCCTGTTTCAAAGCTTACAGATAGATGGCTAATTTGTATGTCATTGACACTTTTGGCACTTTTTTGGAGTATTTTCATAAGTTTTATTTTTTCCTGTAAATGATTCAATAAATACCGTACCGTGACATTCATACCGAGGTATTACCGTACCGTGAAATTCTGATACCGTTACATCCCTAGTACTAACTCTTTTTAACTTGTGAAATTAAAATATTTGACATTTGTGAAAGTGACACCAATTATAGCACTATTGGAATTTATTACTACCTAAATTACTAACAATTATACATGTTAACAAATATCAGTGAATGAACAGTTATGAAAAACAATCTGAGCTAGCAACTCACTCTTTTAAAATTGCTAAAAGTAGCCAAATGAATGTTAAAAATTGCTAAATTTGTTGCTAGGTGCTTTTTTTGAAAAAAAGTTGCTAGGGTAATATGACTACTATTACTAGGGTAATAAGTTGCTAAAGGTAGCAACAAAATTGCTAAGTTGGCAACACTGCATCCAGTACATGATTATTTTGTAATATTAGATCAAAGTGTTGATAAATGCAATCTTTAAAATATCACTTATTTAAAATAGAAGGCTTTAGCAAGATTAAAATTGTCATTAATCTCACTTTTGATCTATTTATTTCATCTTTGTTAAATTTATGTGTTAATTTTCAATCAATGTGACACTTGACCACAAAACCAATCATAAGGCTCAATTTTTTGAAAATAAGCTTTATCATATAAATACTATTATAAATAAGCTTTTCATTGATGTGTGGTGTGACATACTGTTTGATGTACAACTATTTTTTAGAAATGTATATTACTAACTAACAATTATGTTTTATATATTGGTGGAAGGAAATTTAGAGAAATTTACTCATAATTTTTGGGATCAAATTAAAATCAGATCATTTTGAGCCCTACTGTGTATATTTGGATATTCCCAAAAATATACCCATGCAACATAACACTGGGTTTGTGATGCATGGTCTCAAATAACCAAAACAGTAGTGCATTTTGCAATGTTTTTGCAGCAGTTCTACATCTTGCATCTTTCTATGACAGAAAAATGTAGGAGTCACATGCTCATCTGCCATTTCAACAATTAAGCAAGTGAACGGTTTGTGCAGGTGCCAGTATTTAGGCCTATGGATCTCATGGTGGAGGCCAGTCCGCGAAGGGTCTTTGCCAACGCTCACACCTACCACATCAACTCCATCTCGGTCAACAGCGACAATGAGACCTATCTGTCTGCAGACGACCTGCGCATTAACTTGTGGCACTTGGAGATCACAGACCGCAGCTTCAGTATCCTACAAACTACAGCAGATAAAGGAGAATTC